GTCCGGGCTCCAGACTCCTGAATCTGAGGGAGAAGGGGGCTGGTGCTTGAACTCGTAGGTCTGGGGGAAGAGTGGGCTAGAAGCCTGAACTGCTGGGTCCATTACTTGGAAAGGGGCTGAGGCCTTGGTGTTCTCCTTCCATTCCTGGCAAAGTAGCTGGGTACCTGGGTGTCCGGACTCCTGGGTCCATGAAAAGTAACTATGGCAGGGAAAGCTGATGACAGCTTATGAGTTGGGAAAGGGGGCGGGACATCAAAGGCCTCCGTCTTAGCGGGATCGCTGTAGCCCCCAAGATTTCTACCCTACCCCACCGCCCCCAGAAATCCCCCTGCCTGCTCCCAGCAGGCACTGGGATCGCCCGGCCCCTCCGGCGGGGAAGGTTCCGCCCTGGCCTCGCTCCATCCCGTCCCCTCCCGCCGCCACCGGAAACAGGATCGGCCCAAACAATGGCCTGGAACGCCCCGCTCTCGAGCCTCGCCGGAAGCCCATCCCGTGCCCCACAAAAGCGAGGCGGCAACGATGGGGCCGAACGGCTCCGAAAGGTGAGCGCCAGGAGGTGCGTTCGCGGCGGAACGTTGGGGACTAAAGACTCCATCCGCTCTTAGCCAGCCCCACCCCTCCCCGACCTACCATAGACACCGTCCTCCATGGCGGCTAGGAAGGCCCGCGGGGAGTCCGGGGCGGTCCCGCCGGTCGGGCCTGGATCCGCGTTGGCCCGCGGGCTCGAGTGAGCCCGCTCAAACGCCCCGGGAGCCACCGCCGCCTCCTCAGCGCCAGTCCTCAGCGCTGAAAAGACTCTCCTTTCGCCTACCAACTGCCCCGCCTGTAGGGACCGCCCCTCGTTTTGACACCGCCCAATCCACTGAAGGCCCTCTCGTCTGCCCCGCCCCCTACATCGAAGGGCTATCCTCCAGGACCAATAAGCGCACAAGGAGAAGACGTAGCAACGTCCGGCCGGAGGTAGACGGTCTGTGATGCCAATCCGAGTGCGGGCAGTGGGCCGGGCCCCGCCTCCGAAACAAAAGAAGTCACTTGGCTGGTTTGCTCGTCAATGAGAAACCTCCGAAAGGAGGTGCATGAAGGTGGGACTATGCGGGAGCAAAGAAGCCCGCGCCTGCGCAAGGGCTGTGGGCACCAGGATACTAGTTTAACCGAGCCCCGCCACTAGTTATGTGTTGCTTGGGGGGCGGCGCGGTACTTTGTTAGCCTTGTTGCTAGGGGACGGGGCCACATCTGTCGGTAATTTTCGTGAGCCACACCTCCTAGAAGTCCAAGCTGGCTTTTGACGGCAGCGGTTGCCACGCAACCGGGAGCTGCTTTGGCTCACCGTTCTTTTAGCCGGCCTCCTTCCTCCGGGTATTGGCCCCTCCTATCTCCAGACCCTTTTCTTAACCCCTCCTATGACCCCATCCACCTCAGCCTCTTCAGAGTTAAGGAGTGGTGGAACAAAGACTTATTCTTTCTTCTAAATGCTACGCTATTTGGTATCTGTCAAGGAGAACGGGACAATAGGGAAAGGCCAAATATAATGAAAGAACAGGCTCCGCCTTCCTGGCACCCGCTGACTTTCAGGTTCTTCCCTCTCCCCCAAACTCCTCCCCTTATTTTAGCATCCTCCCCCTCTGACAACTCCTTCCCTCGGCACCTTCCCACCTCTCTGATTTCTTCTCCCTTCTAAAAGTCCATTCCCCCCTTTGCAACTCGCCTCACTTTAGGTTCCCCCTTCTCTCACATTCTTGCTCTTTTTAAACGCCTTCCTCCTCTGAGAGTCCTTCCGCATTTGAGGCCCTTTCCCCTCCCCAGCCTCTCATTCTCAGTCCTTGCAGGCAAAGCAGGTGCAGGACCTTGGGCAGGATGGAGCACCTGGGCACCCCGGTCATGGGCAGGTCCATAATTGGGTTTGAGGTGGTGTCTGGGACTCGTCCTTGTTCGCTGCCTCTGGGCTAGGCAGGTGGGGTCAGATGCAGGGCCAGGACCTGGTTAAACTGCCAGATTAGACACAAAGCCTCCTAATCCCCTCACTGACCTTTATGAGTGGCCCAGGCCCTGCCCTCGCAGTGGAAACCCAGGCTGTGCCAGCCCTGACCCTACTCTCTCTCCTCCCAAACAGAACCCGTTTCCTGTCCCTTCACCCCCAACTTAACATCCTTCTCCATCCCTGTGTTTCCATTGCTCCCAGTCCCTACCCCAGACACCCTGAGTTGGGAGAGCAGCCAGCTAATTAATCCCATCCGGTTATTATGTGAGGATTCTGAAGGATAAAGGGAGGTGGGGGAGCCAGAGGGGGGACCTGGGTTGCTGCAGCACTTGGGCAGGCTGATGTGTAGATAGATGCTCGTCCTCAGTCCTGGACACAGGGGTGGGAATGTGTCCTTCTCCCTGGAACTGGCTCCTTCTGCAGCTGGCTCCCAGCCTGCTGGACATTTAGGTAGATAGCAGCATGGGCAGGGAACAGGCCCGAGGACCCATGCCCCAGCAGCAGTAACAGACACACCATGAGGGCTCCCAGTGATTTAATCTGGGGGACAAGTCTTCCCCTAAACACATACTTTCCCCTGGCACTCAGAGCTACCTCCTCCTTCCACTCTCTTCCAAGCTGGACCAGGGAAGAGGTGATTCCAGCCCATAGCCACAGCCCTCACTACTCCTTGCCTGCCCTGTCATTCAGACATCCCAGTTCAGAGCTGGCCTCCAAGAGCATCTCTGATACCAGTTGCCCATGGAGGGCTATGTGTTCCAGTACCAGGGAGAGCTGGGAAATCTCTAGGACCCCCACCCCCACCTTACCCTCAGTGAATTGAGGAATCATCCTGGTTGAAAGTTCCTTGAAGAAATTTCAATGCCCTATTTTAACAGATGGGGAAACTGAGGTGAGGAGAGGGGAGTGATTCGCCCAAAATAGGGGCAGAATTGGGATTTAGAGCAAAGCTTCCCAATCCTTGGGCCAGCCGAGTGGCTCAGTTGGTTAAGTGTTGGCTTAAGAGTGTGGGCTCTGAGCAACAGGGCTGCCAGTTCGATTCCCACATGGGCCAGTGACACTGCGCCCGAGCTGAGCTGCCAACAGGTGGCAGGATGGCTCAGCTGGTGTAACAACAAGATTGCCTGTTCGATGGTGGGCTATGCCCACCCGCCACTAAGACTGAACTCGGCACCTTGAGCTGAGTTGCTGCCTGGATAGCTCAGTGGATAGAGCGTGCACTCTTAACAACAAGGCTGTTGGTTTGACTCCCACATGGGATGGTGGCTACACCCACCCGCAACTAAGATTGAACACAGTACCTTGAGCTTAGAGGCCACGAACTGCCGCCAGGAAGCCAGATGGCAACTGGCACCCTCCATAACGAAGATTGAAGAACAACTTGGCTGGTCCCCTTCCCCAATTCCCCAACACTGTTCCCCTCCTCCAATTCCCCAATAAAATCTTTAAAAATAAAAAGCTTCCCAATCCTTGTAAAGGACTCTGTTCCAATTAGCTCAAGCTTCATTTCTAACCCAAGGAACCATGGGGAAAAAATAGATAGATATCTGTATTTATAATATGTATAATACACATATGTATAACATGTTTAAGAAATAGGACACACATCACTAGATGTAGCATTCCAGAGCTTTGTAGATTCACCAGCCTTGGGCCTCTCCCTTCCCTTGCCCAATAACTAGCCCTGTTACCCACTGTTGCCATGCAGCTGTCCAGCCGTCTGTCCCCCTGCGCTTAACCCTAAACTGACCCTTTTGAGGACACTGCTTATACACCTGGCGTCTCCCTGTTTGGCCCCAAAAGATGGCTGGTTAGTCAATGATGGGTAAGATGCCTCGAGGAAGGAACAACCTAAGCCAGGCACGGTCGCATGGGGGCCATCAGGAGAAATCTCGGGGCTGATGGAGGTGGGCATGAGCCCTCACCCGCCCCCCAAAGAGACTGGAGGTTTTCTACCTCTGTAGCTACATTCCTTCCCTCAACCTGCTTGGGAAGTGACCTGATGGTGTGATAGTATCTGTCCTCAGCACAATAATCTTATCTTCCTGGGGTCATTTGCATATAGGGTGTGTGAAGGCAGAGCATCTGTCTTATCACTGTGGGCAGACTCTCCGTAATAGCAGCTTGCAGGCATGCGTAATCTGGTTTGAGCATGTTCTCAGGAATGAGACTCACAGACTGTGGAGAGAACAATGCTACTTCCGGGTATGTGGAATAATAAAAGCGGCATGTCAGCCTGATTCGGGGCTCTTAGTCCACAAGGCTGGAGACCCTTGGCCCCACACTCATTTAACTCTTGGCTGCTGTTTCTTTTATTGCTTAACCCTTTGCCGCCCCCTCTCGTTCTCCCACTGCCCATGTCATGCGAGACGCGACAATCCACAGGGTCTTGCCTGGGCCCTCACCTTCTAGGTTAGCCCAGAAATTCTGCCTATCAAGTCCTGAGTCCACCTCCTAGAACTAAGAGCTGATCAGAACTTCCAGGTTTTGATAATGGACAACTCTGGATCCCTCGAGCCTTTGTTCCTTTTGGCATTACAGAAGCACAAAGAAGTCATTTAGAATCAAGAGTCTCAACTTCATTGGGCAAACTGGAACCAGCAAATCTCAGACATCTATAATAGAACCGCCACTCCTTCCTTGACTCTGTGATCTAGAGCCACAGAATCTTGATTCCTTTGGACATTCTAGAATGGCACTTAAAAAAACAACAACCCTATGGATCATTTAGAAGCACTGATTATCCGCTTGCTTCGATGTTCTACAGCCAGTGGTCTGGAATTACCTAATACCAAGAATGCCCAATCTGTCACTTTAATCTCTAGACCCACAGATTCTCTCTCCATTGTTTTGTGCATTCTAGGAACATTACTCTTTAGTTTTTGGAGTAGTTCCATTCTCTAGGTCAAACCTGCTGTAGAACCACCAGTGTTTGCCTCTGGTCAATCTAGATTCACAGAATCTCAAAATATGGGTTTTCTGGAACCACAGGTCTTTTCTTGACTTGCAGTCAACATTCCTTGTCTTTGGTCAATCAAGACAGTCTTGAATTCTTGGGCATTCCATAACTCTCCTTCCTTAGGTGGTCTAGAAAAAAGTGATTTGCTACTTAGTTGGCTGAGTCTAGAAGCAACAGTCCCTTGAATCTTAGGTCGATCCAGACTTACGAACTTTTGATCGCTGTTGCTGATGGAGAAGTGCTGACTTCCTCCTCCAGAGGTGGACCATACCATTGATTTCTGACCCTGTTCAACAACCCAAGCCAGCCATATAGAAGAATCTAGAACCATCAGTCCTTGCCTCTTGGATCGTCCAGAATTCTGAATCCCTTCGCTCTAGTGAGACTCAGGAATCAGGCTGATAAAGCGGTCTCCGAAGGGAGCACAGAATGTAGAGGAATTAAGATCGAGTATGTCCAATGTAGGTCCACTAGGCATGGCAGAACTTCACCAGCTAATAATTTACCCAGCGGACCTGTCAGTCTTAGAGAACACCTGCCCCCACCCCAGAAGAGGACCCTGTCTCTCCATCTTGTTACCGCTGGGAAGGGGGTACAAACAAGGGGACACCAGCTGGCATCATGGGGGCAGGGTCAGTGCCAGGGTTGGTGTGAGTACTCGAGGGCTGGCAGCCCCATCTTCTGTCTTCGTCTCATCCCCCTCCTTGGCCTCCTCTTCCTCCTCTTCCTCCTGGCAGCAGCTCAGAGCAAGTTCATTCTCATAACAAAATGCAGCCAGAGAGCTGGGGAAGCTAGACTTGGGGCTGTGGGAATCCTGCTCTGCCCGTTCATCCAGCTCCTTGGCACTGCAGACAGGTGTCCCTGGGACCTCATAAGTGCGATGGAAGTGGCGATAATCAACCTCGTACTGGGAGCCACGCTGGAAGAGGACTGGCTCAAAACGATGGCCCCAGAGCAGCTCACCAGGGAGATAGGAAGAGCGACACTGTGTGGTCATAGCTGTGGCCTCAACCATGCCCTCAAGAATGACCACTAGTTCAAAGTCAGCCTGGACCAGCTCAGCACGTCCTAGTTCATACAGAGGACTGGAGGAGTCAATCTCATGCACGATGGTAATGGGAGACACAAGGAAGATGCGATCAGTGCCACCATCAAAGCCCACGTCCACATCCTGGTGGTCCAGTGGTATGTACTCACCCTCCGGGGTCACTCGAGGCTGTAGCCAAAGGCAAGGGTCCAAAGACAGACAGCAGGAAGCATGGAGACGAAAGGATACAGAGATGGTGACAGAAAGGAATAGAGATGCAGAGAAAGAGGAGAGCAGAGACCGGCAGGGGTGAGTATAATAACCCAGAGAAGGGGAGATGGTGACCCAGGGAGAGAGAGGAATGGAGGCCCAGAAGAAGAGGGGACCGAGATCCAGAGATAAGCAGAGAGGGACAGAGACTCAGAGAGGGTTTGGGGATAGAAACCCAAGGAAGAGAAAGATAGGGGGCAGAGGAAGAGAGGGACAGAGTGACATTGGCATATAGAACCACAGAAATGAGCAAGGCAGAGATGAAGTTAAAGAAACAGAAGATAAGAATGACATCCGACCAGCGATTGGAGAAAGAGAGGAGGGAGAGAAAAATGGCTTTCAATATTCGGCCAGAGAAATAAACCAAGACAACCTAGGTCCAACATCCTGTGTTCCACCACTATTCCCTGGGCTCTTCGCACACCACCCACCCCCAACCCAACTACAAGCCCTGCATCCCCTTGTGTGTATATATGTTTGTGTATAGTGGGGGTATGTAATTCCTAGACCAGGTATTGGCAGTTTTACCCTATCTACCCATTGGTTCCAAAACAACCTCCCAGGCTATGTCAGTGCCCCACAGACTTCTGGAAGAGACAGTATCCCTTCCGGTCATGAATCCTGGTGTCTCAGTCAAGCAGGAGACAGAGGTGTGGGGTTGGGACCCATTCTCTTCCAGCTATCTCCCAGGACCCCAAAGGCTGCTGGGAGCTGTGGTTCCTACCACCATGCTGTCCTCCCTCTAACTCAAGTCTAACCTCTGCCCAGGGTTAAGTGTCTACTTAGACAAGGGTAGCTAGCTACTGCCCCAGAATTTGTTTGGGCAGTTTGACCACAATTCTAGAAACACTGAAGTCCCTTTTGCAGGGCGTCAGAGGGAGCCACTACTCCAGGAGCCAATGAGAGTTGTAGTTTGGTTTTTTTGTTTGTTTGTTCATTTGTTTTGGTTGGGAAGCTAAAATTCAAGTTTCCCAGCCCCAGCCCTGTATTCCTCCAAGCAGGAGGCTGGTGGGAGAGACTGGGCCACTGAGTTGAGAAATGAAGTCTCCCACAAAGGCTGCAGGACCCCATGCCCAGAGGCCATGGAGAATTGTGTTCCACAGCTCTGTAGCATGAGCTGCACCCCAACGTTGGATCTACATCTCCCACAATCCCACAGGGGCCTGGCTTCAAGTCACAGGCCGCTGGAAATGGTAAACCTGAGGGTTTACATCACTCGCAAAACGACATTATCTCATCAGACCACCCCATCGGACCACTTTCCCTGTCCGCAGAGGCTTCTGGGAATTGTAGTTCAGAGCCTTTACAGGCCAAGAGGGGCACTTTCAGATCTAGATTTCCCAAATACCCACAGAGGGCTCATCCTCAAGCCCTAGGAAGCTCTTTATGTCTCAAAATCTGTCTCAAGTCTAGTCCTGCAAGAAGAGCTGGTCACAGACCTCTCTCTTGTGTTTACATCTCCTACACCTGCTCCGGGACCCAACCCCAGACCACAAGTCGGCGGGAAGGTCCCTGCCAAGAGACTGCTGGGAATTGTAGTCCACGTGCCCTGCAGGCCATAAGCACACCTCGCTCATAGGCCTACATCTCCCACAATCCCCCGGGGCTCTCACCCCATCCCGCAAAGGGTCCCTGCCTGCTTCCGCGGGCAGCGGCAGGGCACCGCGGTGGCCGCGCACCTGCAGCAGCTGGGCCCGCACGTGGGCCTCCACAAGGTGGCTGCGGCGCAGGTTGCCGACGCGCCACATGAGGCAGAGGCGGCGGTCACGCAACGCTACGACGGCGTTCTCGCTGAAGACCAGAGTCTCGTTGCGCTTCTTGGGCTTGGCCATTTTGGCCATTACAGCGCCCACGACGAAGGCGTCAAGCACGCAGCCGGCGATACACTGCAGCACCACGGCGGCCACGGCGGCCGGGCACTCCTCGGTGACGCTGCGCACGCCGTAGCCGATGGACGTCTGCGTCTCCAGCGCGAATAGGAAGGCGGCCAGGAAGCTGGCCACCTGGGAGAAGCAGGGGGCGGGCGGTGGCGGGGCGGCCAGGTCGCCGTGCAGCGAGGCGATGAGCCAGAAGGCCAGGCCAAAGAGCAGCCAGGAGGCGAGGAAGGAGCAGGAGAAGAGCAGGCACATCCAGCGCCAGCGCACATCCACGCACGTGGTGAACAGGTCGCTCAGGTAGCGTGCGCCCTGGCCCCCCAGGTTCACAAAGCGCACATTGCAGTGGCCATCCTTCTTGACAAAGCGCCCGCGGCGCCTCCTCACTGTAGTCGAGGAAGGCGCCCACCCATTGCGACACAGTCCCGGCCTGGCCTCCTCCTCATCACCTGCCGGGCTGTCCTCTGGCTCCAGGGCGCCGCTAATGCGGCGCAGAGCCCTGGCCAGGCCCATTGGGCAGAGGCACCCCTTCCACTTGGCCTAGTGGGGGGCGGGCGCCCCGAACCTGCAGTGACAAGATATGGCAGCAATGTCAGAGGAGTCAAGAATGGATGGGTTCATTGGCCAGGCTTGCTCTGTGGGCCTTAGCAGCCTCATCTGGAAAATGGGTGGAAGGATACTCACCTTGAAAGTCAGAACAGTACAGCAACAACCACAATAATACTTGTAATGACAAGAGATACTTATAACAAACACCACTATAACCAGAGCCAATCTTAATACAGTGCCAGGCACTTGTGAGCACTTTACCTGAATTTATGTATTTGAGCCTCACCACACTTTAGACATTATCCCCATTTTACAGATGAGGAAACTTAGGTACAGAATGTTTAACTTGTCCAAGGTCACAGCTGAAGAAGCTGGGATTTGAGTGCTTGCAGTCTAGTTCCGAGTCCAAACTCATAACAACTAAGGGATTCAGTATGGAGAGATGACCTGGAACTCTGAGATCACCTGTGGTTCAGAAACAGGTGAAACAAGAAACAAAAGGGAAAAGAAGGATAAACTAAACTTCTTCAAAGTTAAAACTTTTGGGGCCGGCTGAGTGGCGCGATGGTTAAGAACTGGCTTGGGATGCCAGAGGGCCCCGGTTCGGATCCCACATATGAGGGCCAGTGACACTGCCCTCTACAGCTAAGATGCTGAACAACAGCTCAACCTGGAGTTGGGCTGCTGTGAGTCACCAGCGACGGCGTAGGCTGCAGCCCCTGTGGCAGTGGGTTGCCATGGGCTACCGTATGTAGCCAGCGGCCAGCAGCCGCTGTGAGTGGCCATCCAGAAGCGATGACTGATGTGCCTCGCCCGGAAGAGCGCAATGATGGACCCAACTTGGGCCAGTGAAGCAACGTCCTCCACAACTAGACTGAAGAGCAAAACGACAGCAACTTGTCTGTTCCCCTTCCCCCAATTCTGTTCCCATCCCCACAAATCCCCAATAAAAATCTTAAAAAAAAAAAAAAGTTAAAACTTTTGTCCTTCAAAGGACACTAACAAGGTGAAGAGAACCCATTAATGGGAGAAATAATTGTAAAACATATATCTAAGAAATTTGTATCTAAAACATATAGAGTCCTTACAACTCAATAATAAAAAGACAAACCAATTTAAAAATAGGTAAAGGATGGGCCAGCTGAGTGGCGCGTTGGTTAAGAGTTGGCTTGGGATGCCAGCTCTGAGCAACAGGGCCCCAGTTTGGATCCCACATTAGGGCCATTGACACTGCACTCTACAGCTAAGATGGTGAACAACAGCTTGACCTGGAGCTGGGCTGCCGTCAATCACAGGCATAGGCTGCAGTGAAGGTGCAGTGGGCTGCCATAAGCTACCATGAGTGGCCGGCAGCCAGCGTGAGCTGTCAAGAGCCACCGTGAGCAGCCGTCCAGGGGCCGGCGACCGAGCTTCCTCACCCGGGAAGAGCACAATGATAAAACCAACATGGGCCAGTGAAGCGACATCCTCCACAACTAGGCTGAAGAACAGAAGGACAGCAACTTATCCGTTCCCCTTCCCCGATTCCCCAACGTTGTTCCCCTCCCCCAACTCCCCAATGCTGTTCTCCTCCCCTAATTCCCCAATAAAAACCTCTTAAAAAAATAAAAATAGGCAAAGGATCTGAATAAATATTTCTTCAAAAAAGATATACAAGTAGATGGAAAGATAACATCATTAGCCATCAGGGATGTTAATCAAAACCATAATGAGATACAACTTCACACCAACTTAAGATGGCTATAATAAAACAAAAACAAAAACCAGAAAATAAGTGTTGACGAGGATGTACAAAAAGTGGCACCCTCAACAGTCTGGTAGTTCCTTAAATGGTTAAACAGAGTTGCCATATGATCTGGCAATTCTACCTCTAAGTATTTCCCAAGAGAAATAAAAGCAAATGTCTACACAAACATTGTGTACAACTGTTCACAGCAGCATTATTCACAATGGCCAAAAGTAGGAAACCCAAATGTCCATCAATTGATAAATGGATAAATAAAAGGTGGTATATCCACACAGTGCAACACTACCCAGTAATGAAAGAAATGAAGTTCTGATCCCTGCTACAATGTGGATGACCCTTAAAAACATTATGCTAAGTGAAAGAAGCCAAATTGCAAATTACTACATATTGTATACCTTCATTTATATGAAATGGCCAGAATGGACAAATCTATAAATTGAGAAAGTAGACTAGTGGTGCCTAGGACTGGGGAGATGGGGTGATTGGGGAATAATAAGAGCCAGAGGATATTAGGGAGATAAAAATGTTCTAAAATTGATTGTGGTGATGGTTGCACAACTCCGTGAATATACTAAAAGCCACTGAATTGTACACTTTAATGTTTGAGTTGTATGGCATGTGAATTATATGTCAATGAAGCTTACAAAAAAGAAAGAAAGAAGAAAAGGCTCCACCGTGATCCTCAGACCTTGGGCAAGTCTTTCCAAGCCTGTTTCCTCAACCGTAAAATGGGGAAATTGGACTTCTTCAAGGTCAGGAAGGGCCTTTGTCATATAGACTCAGGGCCCAATCCTGGCTCAGTTGCTGACCCACTGTGTGCTCTGGGACCACTGGCTTCCCTTTCTGGAGCCTCTGTTTACTCAACTGTGGGATAGGGATTAAAAACTGCCACCATGAAAGGAAGAGTGATCCAGAAGAAAGACCTCGGGCTTTTGAATCAGGCAATTCTAGGTTGGATCCTGGCTCTGCCATTTGGTAACCGTATAATTGGTGGCAAGTCACATCCTTTATGAGCCTCAGTTCCCCCATCTGTGAACTAGAGTGAACTAAGCAGCTCGACAGGGTGGAGGAGAGGAGAAAAGGGAAGATGGACCTGCAGACCTCATCACCCTCCTGCAGCTGCAGAGGTAATATCTGGCATCTCCAGGACCTGTTTGGGTCAGGGGTGAAATATTTTGCATATTGGTTGTCATTTACCAAGCACCTATGTACTATGTCCCTGTGCCAGGCTCTGGGATCCTCATGGGTCTCTTGGCAGAGCCAGGGGCACTCCCATCTGAGTAGTACGCTAATTAATGTTAAGTTCAATACCAATGGTTGTTCCCCATCCTCTCCAGCTCTGCACCTGCTGTCCATGACCAACTGGAGACCCCTGCCACCTGGAGGTTTTATTACCCCCATCCCATAGAGGCAAAGCTGTGGCTCAGGTCAGAGTGGACTGGTTCTGGCTGTGTCCAGCACCCACGATGTACCCCAACTCTTTTTCACCCCAACTACCCTGGGTGTTAGAGATTGTTCCTCCAAAAAGGGGAAACTGAAGCTAGTCTGAAGGGGACAGGTTTGAGGTCAGAATCCAGGCTCCAACCTCAATGTATGCAGTCCTCTCCTGCCTGGAAGTCCCCAGTACGTACTAGGCTCCCTCTCAAGAGCCACCATGACAGGGTAAGGAGAGGCGGGCTGGCCTCCCACTGATGCAGCCCCGGCCCCAGGTTGGACCTCCTCAGACCCACTCACCTATCTCTAACCACAACCCTGGAGACTTTGCTTTTCACAGGAAAGCAAACTGAGCCACTGAGGTCCATCCCTTGGCTCAGGTCCCTCGACTCGGGGATGGCAAACCCTGGATTTCCATCAGATTTCTTGGGTACCAAAGCCTGAGTGATAAACCACAGACCTTATCAAGCATGCTCCTGTTTCTTGAACACCTACTATGTCCTGGGCCTCAGGATGCGCTCCTCAGATGTCTGTAGCTTGTCCACTGGACTCCACCAGACCCCACTGCTCATGTCGACTGCTCAGGACACTGGGAGGTCAAAGTCATTGCCCCGGTTCACAGGTTGGTTCCCCAACCTGTGAACCAGCTCAGAGGCCTGGCCAGACCAATGTGGTGTGAGGGTGGGGTGTTAGTTTGGGTCCTGAGCCTTTCCAACCCAGGACAGCCTCCTAAATCGAGTCTCATACTCAGCCCTGTGAGGCAGATGTGACCATGTCTATTTCACAAAGCAGACAGGTGGGGCGGGGGTGAGCATGGGGGTTTCACCGCCAGGGGCCTTGTCTGCATCCAGCATGGCCCAGCCGGCTGGGGTGGATATGACTTGGGCTCAGGGCACCCCTACCCCAGAAAAGGCAGGACAGTGGCAGGCAGAAGGCTCCAGAGCCTGAAGTCCTCCCCTGATCCTCCCCGACCTGAGAGCAGCTTAATGTTTCCATATAAAGGAGATATGGGGCTTAAGGTGCGTTAACTTCGTGTCAAAGTCACTGTCTAATCCGGGGCCACCCCCAAGCCCGACCGCCTTCCCCCAAAAGAGAAACACTTTTACACTCTTACCCTGGGACCCTGGGTGTTCCCTCTCCCCCTCACCTCCCAGTGGGGTTTGGGCAGTAGGTTGAAGGGCAGAGACTGACAGAAGGCGGGTGTGGAGGCAGACACTGGAAAGACAAGGGTACAGAGGCTGAGATGGGCAGGAAGAGAGGGATGCTGAGGGAGCCTGAGAAAGAGGGAAAAACAGAGATAGGGGGTAAACAGAGACCCAGAGGGATGGGGACAGAGACCCAGAGAGGGAGGGACAGAGATGGGGGGGTACATAGACCACAGGAAAAAAGGGGACAGAGGCCCAAGGAGAGAGGAACAGAGACCTAGAGGGAGGGTACAAAGACCCAGAGGGAGAGGACAGGGGCACAGGGAGCAGGGGACAGAAACAGGCAGGTGAGGAGCAACTGGAAAAGAGGACGTGGAGACAAGTCTTAGGAAATGGAAACACAGGGAAATGGAGTTGCGAAGACAGGGACCAATGGAGACAGAGATGGGACAAGAAAGGGAGACTCTGTTGAGATGGAGGATGGGACAGTGAAAAAAAGCAGAAAATGGAGATGGGGTCATTGTTGGAGACACCAAACCTGTGGGGAGAAATTTTTCTGGGGCTGCTACTCTGTCACTGAGGGTAAAATAGGACCTTCCTGAGGGGAAACAGCAAGGATGGGGGGATGTTGGGGCAGAGATGCCCAAGCAAGGAGGATGGGGGTGGGATGGCTGTCAGGCCCGGGACTCCTGCCCAGGGCCTGTGTGGCGGCACATACCTGTTAGGGCAGCCCACCCCCATGCCCTCTGCTGGGGGCTCCTCTGTGGGTGCTGAGGGGCTGTAGTCTGTCCTTGGCCCCAGGGGCCTTGTGCCGGGCACCCGATCTCCGTGGCAGATCAGAGGCCTGGCCAGAGGGGGGGTAGGGGGTGGGGCCAGCTCAGAGCCGCAGAGGGGGAGCCAGGGAGGATGGCCAGGCAGGCATCTGGGCCACAGCCCAAGCAGGCTAGAGAGGAGACGATGGCAGAGTAGAGACACAGAAGGGGGGAGGGGGCAGGAAGACAGTGCATGTGGGCCAGGAGACACAGGAAGATGGGGATACAAATGGGGCAGAAAACGATGGGGACAGATGATGGAACAAAGAAATGGTGAGATCATGATAAAGGGGACAGTGATGGAAGGACAGAGAAATGGGGGGGCTCCCTGGTTCCCTCTGAGGTGAAGCCTTAAAAAGCATGTGTGGGGGGCCACACGTGAGTACCCTCCAGAGATCCAGAGTTCCAGAGGAAATAAAATTTAGGGAAGGCACGCTGGGTAGCACCCAATAGGTTGAGGGTTGGAGCGCATGGAGCAGGTGCCAGATTCCTGCTCCTCCACCGTTTTCTCAGAGGGAAGTGGCCAGAAGGAAATCTCACACACATCAGGCCTATCCTGGTCTTTTACTGCCTCTCAGGAGCCCCCGACTTCCCACCCCCCACAGTGCCTACCTTGAGCACAGGAAGGAGGGGAGAAGGTCCATGCTGCCCCCCACTGGGAAGTCTTGGCCAAACTTGGTTGGCAGGAAGACAAGGGGCAAAACCTACTTCTGCTGGAGGAACCCACCCCTCAATTTCGGTCTAGCCATGTGAAGTACTTGAGTTCCCTGAAAGAGACCAAGGGCCAAAACTGGGTCCTGGGGCAGAGGGAATAAAGGGGCAAGCCAAGTGCCACAGCTGACAAAATATCCACAGCACCATGGGCCACACCAGGCCCATGTGGGAAATGGGCCAACAGAGTCCTCACTGGTAGGGGGGAAGGTCACTGGGCTGAACCAAGTCTCTGGGTGGGAGGGTCACTGGAGTCAAAGCCAGTGGCTTTAGGGAATCATGGGTCAAACCATGTTCTTCGGTTGGAGGTGTCATTATACCAAACCAAGTTGTTTTAGAGTCATGGGTCAATTATATCCTTTGGTGAGAGGGGTCACTGGACCAAACCTAGTCCTTTCAAAGAACAGTAAGTCAAACAGAATCCATCATGGCGGCCATCGGGCCAAACGAAGTCCTTCCTCTGGAGGGGGACTGACTGGTGGTGTTCAGATCTGTTGAGATCTGAATGAGTCCCTTCAGGACAACCTGCTTCAACTTCATAGCCAAGAACAAGGCCAGACCAGATGTTGCTGGGCCGTCTCAGACACTAATGGTGCGGAAGACGGTGAAGCCAGACAGAGCAGTGCTGACCAGGACCCCGGGGCACTGAGGGTGCCAGTGAAGCTCCTTCAGGTCTGTCTCACCCTGGTGCACGAACAACAGCTGCTGGGGGAGGTCCGCCAGCCCGGGGTCGGTCTCCGCGTCACCTGCCTCGGGGTCCCGCTCCACTGCCAGGTCCCACTGTGTGATCTGGTTGTCTGCACCCGAGGCTGCAAAGACCCCACTGTCCTGGGGGTGCCACTCAACGGAGGTCACGGGGGCCACGTGCTGCTTGAAGGTGGCCACTGGGGAGCCAGACTGTGGAAAGACGAGAGTCAGGGGCTCTGCGTGCCTCAACCTGACTCCTGGGGTGACTCAGAAAGAGTCTCCACCTCTCTCCAGCCTTAGGGTTCAACCAGTGCTCCACCCATGAGCCCCCCACAAGCCCAGATTCTCTGAAGGGACTGATGGCAAAATACAAATGGTAATAAAGACATAATTGTCCCAGAGGCTGCTGGGAACTGTGGTTTCAGTTGGAAAGAAGCCCCTCCCAGGGATGGGGTGTTTCTCTAAGTGCTCTCCCTGCTGATTCTATGGCCTTAAAGGGGGCAGAAGCACGACTCCCAGGCTCAGAGGCAGCCAATGCAAAGAATGAAGGCGCTTTTCCTAAGCAAAGGTGCTGCTGGGGATGGGGGTCTCTAATTTGGAGAAGTGGCTCCAAAGTTCCACTGGTCAATCCACTGGGCATGTGACCCGACCATACACCTGCCTTGGGGGCTGGAATCCATTCCTAGAAGCTTCTCCAGGGCTGATTCTAGAGAACCCATTACACTGGAGGGGAGAAAAGATTATACCATGGTGGTCCCGGGAAGGCACAGAGTCATGTGAGGTTATGACTTTGTCCAGAGGGATGCCAGAAGCAATTTCTCCTGCCCAGAGTCCCTCTCAGCTCTACGAAGTCAACTCTTAGCGAGGCCTTAACATCTGTCTGCTCCTGTCCTTTCTGTGCCTCAGTTTCCTCTCCTGCAGCTGAGTGAGCTGGGCTCTGTTTCTCAGCTGACGCTATAAAATCCATGGCTTCCCCATAGGCAGATAGGACTTGTGGTCTCTGCCGCTGCCCAGTCTCCTGTTAGCTCTCCAACAGGTAGAGTGAGCGACTCCATATCAGCTACAAGCCTTCCTCTTGCTGAGCTTGGTTCCTCATCTGTACCCAGAAGGGTCTGGACCCCAATTCAAAGGGCCTTCCCAGCTCTGTGTACAAAACTATCTAAGGGGGATAACCCACAAATCCTAGTGGCTGCTGGGAGCAGGAGCTTCTCCAGCCCCAGATGCCCTGCTGGGAAAGTACCTTGAACTGCCGCAGGTCCCAGACCTTGAGGGCCCCATCATCCCCGCCACTGAGCAGGAAGGGCTCCTGGCGGCTCCAGCTGATGACGTTGACATCCCCATCATGGGCAGTGGCAGTGGTGAGCATGCAGGCCTTGCTGGGGGCTGCCCGGATGTCCCAGATGCGAATGGAGGCATCAGCTGAGCAGGAGGCGAATACCTAGACAAGGAGGGGTCTGAGTGACCCCGGGGTTCCCCCCCACCCCAGAGACCAGGGACTAGTAGTGGGCCCCTCACTAGGACTTGCCTCCAGCTCCCTCCTCCCCCAAAACCCAGGGGTCTAGGCTCCCAGCCCTTCCTCACTGTGTCCTCGGTTGGGGACCACTGCAGATCTTCCACGGAGCATGTGTGGCCCACAAATGGCCGTTGGTCCACGTGCCAGGAGCCACCATCCGTAGGTGTCCAGAGGTGGATGTTCTTCTGACAGTCACCGGTCAGCAGGCGCCCTGGGGAAGGAAGTCAGGAAACTACCTGGTTCCAGCTGGTCATAGCGCCCTCCCACCTCCCAGGACCAAGTAATCACCCCCAAGACTCACCAGGCACGCGGGGAGACCAGTCAAGAGCAAAGCCCTCGCCCATGTGGCCAGCGAAGGTGAAGATGGGCTTCATGCGGGCCTGCTCATCCCGGAGGAAGGTCACCAGGGCCTGGGGGTCATCCACCACCTGCAGAAGCCGCCGCAGTGCATATATCTCCACCTGGCCCTTCTCTGACCATACCCCTGCCACGGGCTCCTCACCCAGCCACGACATCTGCAGGGGGAAGAAGTGGAGGTGAGGTGGGAGGGACAATAGGCTCAGGTGGTGACCACAGCTGCTAGCATCCCTGAGAACCAGAACTGCAGTTCCTCAGAACCCCCCCCCCGCCCCTCGGGGCTGGGACTATACCCCCAGAAACCTCTGTGGGAAAGGATCACAGCCTACAAGACCGCCTTGGTAGCTGGGACAATTGCCCATTCTGTGGTGGAGATAGTGATGGTGGGAGAACCATACTCCTTCAAGACTCGTGGGAAAAGAGGCTGTAATTCTCACCAGCCCCAGGGAGTGTGTTCAAACTCATGGTCTCCGAAACCCTCTACGCCTTGGAGAGTCACAGGCTTCAGTCCTCAGGTTTCTTTGGCTCTGTGTATTTACTCACTAGGAGATTCCATTCAGCCTCCGGGTTTCCTGTAGCCCCTGGCCCTGACCTCTCTCTTGAACTCCAGGTTCATAGCACACTGACCATTCCAACTTCACAAGACCAAAGCCAAGCTCATAATTGTTATTGCAACCTACTACTCCTCCCATTCAGGCCCAAACAACAGGACTTATTCTCAACTTATCTTTTCTTCCTCACACCTGCCACCTAGGCTGCTGGTTCCACAGAAAACGCACCACTTCCAACCTCTTCTCACTACTTCTATTGTTGTCACGCATGGTACTACTACTGATGTCATCCTTCCCCTGAATTACTATAGGACTGTCCTTCTGCCCTGGTCTCCCTGCAGCCTGTTCTCAACACAGCAGCCAGAGGGATCCCTTTAAAACGCAAGTCAGATCCCATCTTCCCTCTGCTCTAAACTCTCTAATGGCTCCCAATTTCTCTCCAAGTAAAGGCCAAGTCCTTATAATGGATTACAAGGCCCTAAACAACCTGTCTTGTCCGTGCCCACCCCCTAAAATCTTATCACTCTCCCCTCGCCCATTCTGCTTTAGATGCACTGGTGTCCCCAGCTTCCCTCAAAATTCCTCAAACATGCCAAGTTCACCCCAGGGCCTTTGCACCTGTTTCCCTTGCCTGCAAATCTTTTCCCACAGATATTCTTGGCTCGCTCCCTCACTTCCTGTGGGTCTCTGTTCAGATGTCATTTTATCAGTGAATACTTCCCTGACCACACTATTTAAAATAGCAATCCCACCCAGGAATACCCTAACTCCTCTACCTGGCTTTATTTTTCTATATAACACTTAGCACCTTTGACATGGTACACATTTACTTAGTTTCTTTTTGTTCTCTCCCCCACTAACATATAAGTTTCATGGAGTCAGAGACCTTTTGCTCCCTGTTAAATCCCCAGGGTCTAGAACATGACCTGAAACATGGTAATACTACAAAGGAACCTTGTAGTGAGAACTATGGATCAAGCATTGCTATAAGTGCTGTTCACATGTTATCTCATTGAATTCACACAGCAACCTCCTCAGCAGGTGCTATAAGCCTGAAACACAAAAGTAACCCCACATGGCGCCGGCCGAGTGGCTCAGTTGGTTAAGAGCTTGCTCAAGCGTGCAAGCTCTGAGCAACAGGGTCGCCAGTTTGATTCCCACATGGGCCAGTGAGCTGCGCCCGAACTGAGCTGCCAACAGGTGGCAGGATGGCTCAGCTGGTGAGCGCACGTGCTCTGAACAACAAGGTTGCCTGTTTGAGATGGTGGGCCATGCCTGCCCACAAAAAGACTGAACTCCGCACCTTGAGCTGAGCTGCCACTTGGGTGGTTCAGGGGATAGAGCGTGCGTTCTTAACAATGAGGCTGCTGGTTCAACCCCCGCATGGGATGGTGGCTATGCCCACCCGCAACCAAGACTGAACTCAGCACCTTGAGCTGAGCTGCCTCCTGGATGGCTCAGTGGACAGCGTGCGCTCTTAACAACGAGGCTGCTGGTTAGACTCCCACATTGTGGCTATGCCCACCCGCAACTAATTGAACACAGCACCTTGAGCTGAGCGGCGAGCCTGGACTTGGAGCTGAGCTTACTGTGCTCTCCACAACTAAGACTGAAGGACAACAACTTGGCTGTTCCCCTTCCCCAATTCCCCAACACTTCCCCTCCTCCAATTCCCCAATTAAAAAAAACAACAAAAAAACCAAAAAGTAACCCACTGCCCAGAACAGTTCCTGAGGAATAACAGAAAACATGTATTTCACACTACAAGCACCTGGAATAACTGTATGTCAGTAATTGAAATAACTATGTTATTCCATTCTATCCTCACATCAGCTAAGTTTTGTAACTCTCACCGTTTTACAGAAGAGGAAAAAATATACACATTTGAAGAGATAGAATCAACAAATATTGGCTATCCTTTTAGTGTGGTATAACCAAAACTAAAGGAAATATCAACATTCCTATGGCAGGAAAGGTAGTTCTGTAACATGAATTAAGGCTTATTACAATGAAATCATTGTTTTGTAAGGGTCTAGAACATGGATTTAGAAAAGATGCTACAACATAGATTTAACACCTAGCATTTCAATGATCCTTTTTCATTTGTTTCTTCAAAAACATATTAGTTACATTTTGTTTGAGTATTGTCAATTTTCCTTTTTTAACAGTGTTCACTGTGAGGGGACAAGACATGTAATCTCTTAGGAGTTAGCATTATGTCACATATCATTGTGAGGTCGAATACACAATTCATTTATGAAGTGTGCGTCTAAGTTCTTCTAACGAGGCCATATAGATTCTATGACAGATGATGGCTGTAGCTCAATGATGCCATTTCCATAGGAACCATTCTTACAAGAACTGCAGAGTACAATTATGTCTTCTCTGCGTCTATAAGAATTTTTATCAGGGCTACAGCACACTTGAATGAAATCTGTCTAATGCAGTTTTGGCTGTTAGAAAATAAACTAGGCGATTATTAATTTTTTTAAAGGACCTGTCCCTTACGATAAAATAGCCTAAATAGTTTATGATGAAAAAAACAATTATTCTAGAAGGAATATACATTTGTATTAGGTATAGTGTGGTTTTCAGCAGGTTCTTGGTGGCTCGATAATAATGCATATAAGCTAAGCAAGAACCACTGGTGATGTGAAACACTAGAGCCAGCTCAGCGATCTTAGTTGAATGCTCTATCTTTTTCTTTCTCTAGCCCGTGTGAAGTCTTCATGGAAAATGACAAGCAGTGGATCACATATGTGATTATATCAGGTTCAAAAGCTGGCTGGCTGACTGGAAATTAGAACTGCCCAAGGGCAGAGAAAAAGCACACATTTTCTTAGGTGAAAATTGACTTACTAACTTGCTTCTTCCTGTACCTGGATCATACATACATAACTAGTTAACAGGAAAAAAAACTATTGTTTCTAACAGGGTAGAGAACTTCAGTTTGTATCTACAGTTGAAATTAATTATTTCTTTTTTTTTACTTTTTTTTTTTTTAAAGATTTTTTTTTTTT